CCTTCTTCCAAACACTTGGCATATCACACCATATATCATGCCCTTATGCCCATCAACAGAATGGCTCTGCTGAACGAAAGCACAGACACATAGTTGAGGTCGGGCTAGCTCTCCTGGCAGGGGCCTTCATGCCCCTCAAGTTTTGGGATGAGGCTTTTCTTACCACTGTTCACATCATTAATATGCTCCCTAGTCGAGTCATAAACAATGAAACTCCGATAGAAAGACTTCTTCACATAAAACCAGACTACAAATCCCTTCGTGTGTTTGGGTGTGCTGGTTGGCCCAATCTTCGCCCATACAATAAAACAAAACTCATGCTTCGCTCAAAGCAATGTGTTTTTCTAGGGTATAGCCCTCAACACAAAGGTGTCAAGTGTTTAGATATATCCACTGGCCGTGTCTATATATCTCGTGACGTCGTTTTGATGAAACAAAATTTCCATCGCCACCTTACATCCGAACGCCGGTGCTCGCCTTCGAGAAGAAATTCTCCTCCCGCCCACTCATCTCATCACTATTGATCAAGGGGATCCGAATTATGATGATCAACTTTTGACTAATCTTGCTACTAATGGTGTGCATGAGCTTTCTCATGATGTTATAGGAGATAACAGTGAAAACAATGGAGAAATCTATGAAAAAAATGCGCCAGCAGCTCAATATCACATTTGTCTGCATCCAGGAGGCAAATCCTCCTCGGGATCGGCTCCGTTGCAGCAGTTCAGTCGATCCCCCACGGGATCCACGCCGGCAGACGCGCCAGCAACAGCGCCAGCCGACCGCGCGGCTGTTCCCAGCCCAGCGCGCGCCATGCGTCACGCCTCAACTGGTGGCGGCCCGAGCTCCTCCCCGCGCCAACCCTCGTCCGGCACGCGGCAGCTCGCGGCTCGTCAGGACGGCGCGCGATTCCGTGACCCGCCGGTCACGTACAAGCGGCGCGACCCGATTCGCCAGTCTGACACGGGGCACGGGCCTGCTGCGGGATCTGGCGCGGACTCCTGCGCACCCGCGCGCGCGTCCACACGCCTGACTGGCGTCTGACTCGAGGCGGATACGCCATCATCCACCAATGATGAGGTCCCGGGATCTTCTGCGCCAACTGAAGATGCTGCACCTGATCAAACTGCCACAGAAGATTCGGCGGGAGAAGATTCTGCTACAGGAGCTTCTGCTCCGGGATTCTCTGTGGCTGGAGATCCTGCTGTTGCACTGTCACGACGTACACGACCACAACATGGGGTAATACATCTTGTTAATTATAAACACATAACCAAATATGGTATGGTTTGTTCTACAGGTGAACCAGGTGAACCACAGACGCTTGAGGAAGCACTTGGTGATGAAAGGTGGAAAAATGCTATGAACGAAGAATACATGGCACTCAAAAAAAATAAAACTTGGCATTTAGTTCCCCCAGCAAGGTAAAAATTTAATTGATTGCAAGTGGATATTTAGGATCAAAAGGAAATCTGATGGAACTATTGATCGCTACAAAGGTAGGCTCGTTGCAAAGGGTTTTAAACAACGGTATGGCATAGATTACGAGGACACATTTAGTCCAGTTGTTAAAGTTGCCACTATCAGTCTTGTTTTGTCTATCGTTGTTTCCAGGGGATGGAGTCTTAGGCAACTTGATGTTCAGAACGCGTTTCTTCATGGTGTTCTAGAAGAGGAGGTATACATGAAACAACCTTCTGGGTCTATAAGTAAGAGTGCACCCTCTCATGTCTGCAAGTTGGACAAAGCACTTTATGGTTTAAAACATGCACCAAGAGCATGGTATTTCCTGTCTCTGTCACAAAATGCAAACACTTGGTTTTGTGCCTTCAAAATCTGACACTTCTCTGTTCATCTACAACAAGTCCAATACATGCATATTTGTCCTAATATATGTTGATGATATTATTGTGACAAGCTCATCTAATGAAGCTATCACAGGACCGTTGAAAGATTTGAGTGTAGATTTTGCCTTGAAGGATCTTGGAGACTTGCATTATTTTCTTGGGATTGAAGTAAAGAGGCACAAGGATGGACTTCATTTCTCCCAAGAAAAGTATGATGTTGACTTGGTAAGAAAAGCTAGTCCACAAGGTTGTAAACCTACACTTACTCCACTATCCAGCTCAGATAAATTATGTCTCACACAAGGAACTCTCTTGACTCAAGAGGACAGCATAAAATACAGAAGCTTGGTAGGAGCTCTTCAATATCTTACTCTTACTAGGCCTGATATTTCTTTTGCTGTCAATAAAGTATGTCAATTCCTTCATGCACCTACAACTGTTCATCTCACTGCTGCCAAACGGATAGTTAGATATGTCAAAAACACATTAAGCATGGGTCTTAATTTCAGCAAGTCATGCTCCACACTTGTCAGTGCATTCTTTGATTCTGATTGGGCAGGCTGTCTTGATGATAGACGCTCTACGGGTGGTTTTGTTGTTTTCTTTGGACCCAACTTAATTTCATGGTGTGCTCGCAAGCAAGCTACAGTCTCCAGATCTAGTATGGAGGCAGAATATAAGGCTTTGGCAAATGCCACAGCTGAAATCACATGGGTTCAATCCATGCTCAAGGAACTTGGTATAAAGAGTAAACAAGCTCCATGTTTGTGGTGTGATAACCTTGGTGCCACCTATCTTTCAGCTAACCCAGTGTTTCATGCCAGGACCAAACACATTGTGATAGATTTTCATTTTGTCAGAGAAAAGGTGGCTCACAAACAACTTGACATTCGTTTTGTGCATTCCAGTGATCAAATTGCAGATGGATTCACAAAGGCATTGCCTGTCAAGAGCTTTGAAAACTTCAAGTATAATCCCAACTTAATGGAGTTGTGATTAAGGGAGGGTGTTAAACATACATGACAGGCGCATATCTACATGACAGGCGCATCTTAGGATATAGTTAGGTTGTTAGAGTATAATGTTTATCTCATGTAACTTCTTATCTCTATCTCTTTTGTTGATCTCCATGTATGTAATCTTAACTGTATATATGCGCTGTTATGGGAGGTGCGCCCCATCTATATAACACGAAGCCGTCGGCCTGAGAAGGCAAGATGTTCCGCTAGTTCGCACATCAAGATCACGAAGATTTGGTTCAACCTACATTTTTTGCTTATTGAAGTATGTAAAAAAATTGCACTAGCTAATGCCTTAAGAATAATATGAAAACTTTATGGTACTGCTCTAGATATTTGTTTGTACGGTGAATGGAAAAAAACTATGGTGTGAATCTAAAGCAAATGCCATACTAGACGAATGTCGTGGAAATTGGAACACAGATATACAAAATGGAGCTCGAGCCATGTGAGTCCAGATGAACAATTTCGCAAAGAAAAAAAGAATCCAGATGAACAGTAAATTCCAAAACAAATTTGGCAACAAACATGTACTGTCATCTAACAAGATGTAAAGGAAAAAAGCAGTAATTATGTATTTGAAAAAAAAGTGCTCTAAAAAGCTTTTAAATAGCCTTTTCAGAGCGTTGATTTTTTTCCTTATTAGAGCAACAACACTTCTTGAAAATTTGCACGCAATTAGAAGACATGAACATGTTTGTTGTGAAAAAAAAAATCCTCCTTTCCAACTTTTAAATTTTACTCTTCATCCGGGTACACAAGAGCCCGAGAACCAAAACACATTTCCCCCATGGAACATTGCTTTCTCAGCATAACAATATGTAGCTCGCAAGAAACGTACAAACAATATATCAATTAATTAATCTAGAAGAGAGATAAATGTGCTTCTTTGATCAGAAACTATATTTGGTTCAAGATGAAAGGCCCATGCCCAGATTTGTCAACAAAGCTCAAACCAGTCCAGACTCCGGACAGAGGTAAACACCACACACGTTCTGACCCTCGCACAGATAATATTGATTACAGGAAAAAATACATATGGCTCTCCTTTATGTCTAGAAAAAAAAAAGCAAACCAGCTATGGAGGTGGCATGAAAGAGAGACATCACTTGTCAACTTAATTATATACTCTCTCCGATCATAAATACTTGACATGGTTTTAGTTCAAACTAAAACCACTTCAAGTATTTTCGAACAGAGGTAGTATATCTCAGTATAAATGCATTGCATATATCAAGGTATTGTTAAGAACTGATGAGGCTTACTTCATTTTCTAGCGGAGGTGCTGCTTCTTGTGAGTTGGAGTTGCAGGTACGGTATCTCTCAAGTGTTTTGTACATGCTGTTGACATAAGAAATCTAAATGATCAGTTCATATTTTCTGACAAGCAAAAATTGTAGAAAACATAGATGCATTTAGGCCGAACACATATAGGAAAAGTAACACATGAAATTCTTTAGGTATCCTTCCATTGGATGGTCCACATAGTCAAGTGCGGATTACTTGTCCACCTGAGGTGAGAGGTTGGTACATATATATTAACATATATAGTATAATGCATGCACATATACGATGAGAACGCCTGTAGTGAAGGACCTGGTCTAGAGGGCCCAACTGCCCAAGGAGTCTTACGAAGCACTGTGCAGTTCGATTAGCCTCCTTGCCATCAGGTGGAAGCAGAGTGTCTCCATCTACGCTATCAGGCCTTCCTCTAAATCTACCGCTCATGACAAGTTCAGATCTAGATCTTGTTGTGACTCCTGCTAATCTTATCCTTTTTTTCTTCCAAATCTGCCTTTTATAAAGTGATATTTTAGTTTTTGTTGCACTTAGCATCTCTTTTGTAATAACTGATGGTTTCGTGCATCTTTAGTTTGTATAGAAACCAGATTCTTGTTATTTCATGCATTTGCCATGGATATGCTAAGTACAAGTTTAAAACCTCTTTCAAAAAAACGTGATCTCAAAAGGAGTCTCAAGGAAAAGCTCTCATTATTGTAAAAAAAATCTTTCCATCTATACTGAAGCTCCTAAGTTTGCAATGTCTTTTTTTTTCCTACATAAACTTTGAATTAATTATGGGCTCACATGTCTGAAACTTGTTTGTAGTGAGAAAGGCCTGAAGTCTTACTAGCTAGCATAACAGGTTGGTGTGTTAGCCAGCCCAGACTCGAGCCTCACATCTACCTATTAATTTGAGCATGGTACCTCCTATGCTCAACTCGTTTCAACAAACATGTTCTAGTGTTATATTCATGTAAAAAGTTTCGCGATAGAATTTGGACTTCCGCGCCATTCTGTGCAAAGAAAAAACAAAATCGATGACAAGTCCATGGAAGTCATTTTTTCATGAAACTTCACACATGAATATAATAAGAAAAAGGGTTTCCTTCCGCTTTATATTATAAAGCAAACACCCGATACATCCAGCTTGCTGGGGCCACAGTACAGAAAAGTCCAAAAGAAAAACAAGAAGAAAAAATGAGAAATAAATGCCGACACCGGCAGATCAACGAAGAAAGGAAGACCGACAACCGTTGCACCCTCCGAAGAAGTACCACCATGCTTCCAGCATCCCGAAGCGCCGCGCACCAAATAACACCTTCAAAAAAGAATGCGACGATGCCACCGCTGTTGCCCGAACAAGTTCTAGGGTTTCCCCGGTACGCGAGGGATAGTGGAGAAGGGATATACCCGATGCCCCTCAGGAAGGTCCGACGGCGCCCGCAGGCGTCATCGCATCGGTGTCGACAGGCCGACAGGGATTTCTCCAGATCCACATCCACCACCACCACTCCAGACACTTCGAAGTGCACCATCCACATAGCCGCCCACCAGCATGTGCCACCACGGTTACCGGACCACCCTCGCCGTCTCTCTGGAGCTGCCAACACGAGGCCTGGAGAGGGAAAGGAGACAACGGCCACGAGAGCGGGCACTACTCGACCGGTGGGAGGGAACAACCTCCATCGCAAGAGCGAAGCCGACCGGACGCGGCGACGAGGACTTGTCGGGCCCTATGGCTCGGCCGGGCCCACGTGGGCCCGGACAATTCCTGTCACCGCGCTGCAACACGCCGACCAATGAAGTACTCGCCGCCCGTAGACCGCCGCCGCCTCGCCACTCCCACCAGGAAGGGACACCGCCGAGCGCCGTGCCACCGGCCCAGCCCAACCCAGATGGGGCCCAAACGGGCCTAGATCTGGGCTCGGTGGACGCCGCCGGCCAATAGCGCCACCGGGTTTTAAAAATCCACACAGTGAAGTAAACCCATCTGGTAAGGGCGCGTGTAAACCCATGTTTTAAAAATCCACATAGTGAAGTAAGGACGACCCAACAACACGTGTCTAATCATGGATCAAATCAAATGGGGAAGTGTTTAGAGCATCTTCAACGATATCTGTTAAAACAGACACTCTATCCGTCGGTGGACCACGTATGGACGTGTCCCCGGACAACCGGCCATCCAACCATATACCTCAATTGTCCACCTCTTAAAACTCCGCCAAATGGCATCGCTCAGATAAATAGCCTTCCACCAAATATGCCAATTAACTACCTGATTCTCTTAAAATAGTGATTAGTAGCTTTATTTGGCGGAATGCTACTAATCCATGCTGCTAGCATAGCTTCGGCCAAATGAAGTGAACTAATATGCTTGCTTTCGGCAAATGCAGTGAACTAGTATGCTTGCTTCTACTAAATGAAGTGAACTAGTAGTCTACTTACTTCCGCCAAATGAAATATTTGAAGAAATATTAAGAAGAAGAAAAATTAGTGAAACAATGTGATTAGTGGCTTCCGCCAAACCTCAAACATGCCATCCGCCAAATGCTAAGCATGCTAATCCTTCCGCCAAACCGCAACAGCGGCCTTCCGTCATCTGGACGGAGAGGAGGGGGGTACGTGGTGGCTTTTTATTCATCATGTAGATGTAATGACTCCCGTAAAACCCCTCTAATTTATTTTCGGTTTGCGGAATTTCGGATAACTGGACCGACGGGATATCACGTTTTATGGCAAATTGCGTCCGGACCGATGGTTGCGGGCTGTCCTTATATTTAATTGCAATGTGCATCGATTCTAATTTTTACGCACATACATGCATGGATTGATTGCAATGTTGCATGTGATGCTGGCCTGCTTGACAGGACTGACAAGATCTGCGATGGGGTATTTCACTGGATACCTTACTCTGCAAGATGGACCGTGGGAGCATAAATGACGGTTCGGCAGTCAAACTGGGCAGTCGAGTAGTTCTACACGGGGCTCGATGAACAGAGCTTAATGAAACAGCAGCATGCACGATGACGTATCTCAACACGTAACATGGTCTCCATTCTCATGAGGGTCTATGCCACGAGATGGCAGTTTGCACACCACATACCTCAATTGTCCATCGCATCAAGTTTGCATACCACATAGAAGCACTTCTCTTATGAAGGTCAGAGAATGTAACAACCAGAGCAGAGATTCATCATCTGATGCCGGTATATACTTGTGTGGCAAAAGGCTAGTATTTCAAAGCCATATACTACTTTCTCTGTGGTATTTTAGCAAACACCTTTTGCTAGTAGCAGTATATGCTACACCCGAATTCTATCTGTAAAGGACTTTGTCAATATAACATACTACTACCTCCGTTTTCGAAACGAAGGCATATAACTTTTGGCTCAAGTCAGACGGTGCAAAATTTGAACAAATTTGTAGGAAACACTACCAACAACCACAATACTAAATAGACATAATGTAAAACTATATTTTATTATGGATTGATTGATAGAAATTTGGTATTATAGTTGTTGATATTTTTTGCTAGAAACTCGATCAACTTTTGTACAATTTGACTTGAGACAAATTTTATATGCCATCCTTTTGAGAACAGAGGGAGTACTATATTGGCTCTTTGCCAACACGTATTCTGAGAATGATATTTGTGTGGTGTAGTACACATTTCATGTGGAGCTAGTCAAACATTATAAACCTCATATATGAACATGTTTGTTAATGTTTAGATTACACATGATATTACACTACTTTCTTAGTGATTCAAGGCTATATAAATTTATTTTAATTTCGCCATGTAAATGTTTAAAATGACATGTGTGATGAAGAAGCAAGTATACACCAATTAATTAAGCACCAGAACACAAGCAAACAAATAAAGTTCACCATTGTCAGTGGTGTCATTCGAGGAGTAAAATATACTTGGTTTTTTTTTAGAAAGAAAGACAAAATAAAACTTCAGATCTGGATACTATATAGTCTTGCATGCAAGTTGTATAATCACTTCAGAAAAAATGAAGGCCAACCAAAGTCCTATAGGAATAGAGTATACGCCACTGGGGATCATATATTTGTTACAAATGGCAAGTTGAAGCAGAGTCAAAGTTCTGTAAATTTTAGAAGGAAATGCAAAATAAAACTTCAAATATGACCACTTTTGTCTTGCATGAAAGTTGTGTAATCACTTTTAAAAAAGGATGGCCAACAGAAGTTGTCTAGTAATAGAGTAACTCCACGTGGATCATGTATTTTCTACAAATGGCTAGTTGAAGCAGATTCAATCGTTAATGTGATGTGGATTTCCACAAGCCGTTGACGTTATTTTTTTCATCTTTTTTCGGAAAGGAGGGTTTACCCCCGGCCTCTATGCATCATAAATCACACAACCATATAATATGAGGTTTCGAGTACTAAACGTCCATAGTATCTTACATAATTTTATAAGAAAAGGAACCGAAAACTCAAAACAAGGCTCCAACAAGATAAAATGACTCATTCACATATCCTATCAATTGATCGTTAGGCTAAAATAGATGTGGCACAACATATATGGCTATATCTACCCGCAATTTACTTGAAATAAAATCATCATAGAAAATAAAACCAATCTTAACAGAACATATTGTCTTGCATGCATATGTATAAGTCAACTCGATGTACTCCCTCCGTTCCCAAATACTCCGTCAGTTCCTAAATATAAGTCTTTTTAGAGATTTCAATATAGACTAAATACGAATGTATATAGACATATTTTAAAGTGTAGATTCACTCATTCTGCTTCGTATGTACTAGTTCATATTGGAATCTCTAAAAATACTTATATTTATAAACAGAGGGAGTATAAGTCTTTTTAGATATTCCAACAAGTGACTACATTCAGAGCAAAATGAGTAAATCTATACTCTCTAAATACATTCATATCTTGTAGTCCATTTGAAATGTCTAAAAAGACTTGCATTTAGGAAACGGACGGAGTATATTTTCAGTGGATCGTCTGTCAGTTCCTCACATGGGTAAGACCACACTACCACAATCAGCACTCCTATATTGCATGCAAAGCTGGGGAACGTGGGCTATTGTTTTCTGAGTTGATATGAAGTCTGTTGGAAGAGATCACTTGGCATCTGACGTACGTACGGTTGGGCAGTCAGAGCACACAGCACCGAGTATTTTACACGGGGCTCAATGAAGATGGGTGGGTTTTTTGATCGGACAGCTGCTACCTTCAATGGAACAGTATGTATCACCTTCTCTTAATTTCTCAACGCACACATCACCAAACGGGGTATGTACGGAGTACTACTACCTACCAGAACGTGTTATTGACCAAAACAGGCTTCTAGTCGTACGTGTTATTTACATGGGGAAGTACCGGATTGCTCATTTATATTTTGGCAGTGGATGAGAGTGATTAGTCGACAAAGTGCACGAATGCACGACGGATCTGATAATGCATAAAAATGGGAAAAGCAAGGGCCAACAAAACAGAAGCTCGATCTAAAGATGGAAGCAGGTGGATATATCGTTTCACTGTTCTTTCGTATTATAGCAAGAGATCCAGATAATAAATCGTGCACTTATTCCTCTACTGACAAGCAAACAATCTGTTGTCAATCTACCTGATTGTCGATGCAGTTAACGATCGATCGGACGCCTAATATGATAGGGACTAGCTAGCTGATCTCCATCACTACTTTTGTTCAACAAATAAGAAGAAAAGGAGGTTTATTGCAGGCAAGAAATAGAGGTATATTTTTGCCAGATCTCGGTGATCCGGGCGACCAAGTGAGACCAAAACGACGAAAAAAATTGAACAGATAGGGTCGAAGAAAGCTAAGATTTAACAACAAAAAAAATCTACAAACAGGTTGCGGACCTAAGCCAAATCGATTTGCCCAGGAAACCTGCTCTACTAGAAGCGCGTGAACCCAAAGAGAGGCAATTAGATTCAAGGATTGAAAGGGCATCGGTTCGATTAATCGGCCCAAACCTGGATGGGTTTACTTCTAGAGCTCCTATTAGCGTTGTTGCTGTTGGCCGATCTATGCATGCACTGTGGAGAGAAACAGCGAGCGTTGGTTTAGTTACGCACCATGAGGAGCTTGAGAACTCGAAGAGGCGGCCGCGGCCGGAGAAGATGATGAGGGCGACCTCGGCGTCGCAGAGCAGCGAGAGCTCGTAGGCCTTCTTGAGCAGCCCATTCCGGCGCTTGGCGAACGTCACCTGCCGGCTTATCTTGTTCTCGATCCGCCTCATCTCCACCTTCCCCCGACCCATCTCCTCCTCCTCTCTTTCTTTCTCTCTCTAGGTCTCCTTTTATTTTCCGCAGCCAGCAGAGCGATGTCTGATCATATGCTTGCTCGTTGCGTCTAATTGCCTAAATAGCCTCTCTCTACAAATCTCTCGACTGTCGATCACCACTTCACCACCGATCGATCGCTTATTAGCTTCGGCCACCCTCTCTGCCCCTTCTCTCGGGCTGTCGGGCATGGGTACTGTAGCTTTAAGGTGGTGGTGGGGCAGCGGGTGCGTGAAATGATTGATGAGTCCATGAGTTGATGTTAGATTAGTTCGTACCGACGCGCGAGCTGAGGTGAACCCGCTCGCTGACGACGCAACAGTACGTACCGACGGATCCAATCCAAGGGGAGGCGTCGCAGTAAAGGTCTGACGAGCGGACGGCAGCTCACGCTCGCCGAGCTGGAATATAGATGCTACTGTAGCTCTCGATCCATCGAGGCTGAAGAGGACGGGTGGCACGTGTCGACGAGCGTGTGGAGGAACAGACGAGTGAGGTAACCAAACCACCAGCACCGGCAGCTGGCACCGCTATACCTAGCTAGTATGGCTTGTACCCAAATGTTTCTGCGCTATTCGGTTGTTGCGAGTCCCTACTCCCTAGCCACGTCCTTAGCTTGTAGGGCTTCCGTCGTAGGGCCGTCGCTCAGCGCTGAGCGCTCTGAACTCCCTTTATTTCTCCTCTCGCCCTCGCCTCAGCTCCTTTTCTGCTGGTCGCCAGTGACCATGTAACCTGTTGCTTGTTTCTATCATCACGGGAAATAAAGGGGAGAAAAAAGGCACCGAGTGCTTTGGGAAGAGTTGTTTGGTTTAAGAGCAACTCTGCTGCGCGCTTTGTCCGCCTTTCGTCCATTTGGATCGGCCA